AACTGAGAGTTAGGTTTCAATAGCATGACCCATAATATACAGTGTTTCTTTTCTCTTTTTTAGGATATCGTTTGTACTTCGTCCTTGCTATTGGAGAAACGACTGTGACTCTAGGCTACATCATCACTATATCCTGCCAGCACATCCTCAAGGGGAGTTCCTTTCTCCTTACAGTTTCTCATCGAAGTAAAGTATCTCCCTGCACCCTCGCCATGCATTGAGATCCTCCTGTCTTACTTACCCTCAAGTGCTATGTGTCACCTTTTGATGTTTTTTTTTGTGTATTTTCCTTACAGACGCGTCTAAGTCGCGCATCTCCCCTGTACCCTCTCTACGCCTCTTCCTCATTCCTCAATAGACCGTCCTACCCCCTATCCTCACACCCACTCACCGACCTTGGCCTGTTATTCCCTCCCGACTGTGCTCTTACCTCCTCCCTCGCTAGACATATCTGTTCACCGTGAAAAATCTTTCATGCATTTTCGCATGATCTCTTCATATATATACTTCGCAGAAAGCTTTAGTTTATTTTGCATCATTCTCCCAATTTTTTTTTCTTTCGCATTTGGGAATATTTCGATTGCCCATTTTCTTCTGTCCTCCAGAATGAAGGAATGCTTCAGTCACGTTTCCTCCAGTCATCAGAATGAGTCGCACCGATAATCAGACGCCTTGAAATGTGGTATTCTGCCTCGTGCCTTCAAGCCCTATCTTCACCCTGCTCCCGTTGTCCCCTTCTCAGCCACGCAGTCTTCAACGTTTCCTAATCAGGTGGCACCTTTTAGTCCTTCAATTAGCATGTCATATCAAGACGTCGCTCTCTGTGCCTCTGTGTGTTGCGCAGATATCTAATATTCATGTTCCGTGAAAGATGCTTATTGCACGGTAATTCAACACTTAAAAGTTATAATAATGCAAAATTCAGATATCTGAACTAAAGTTTATACCATAGACTGCGCCTTTGTAGTCTAGTTCTTGGAGTGATTTGATATATTTAAATGCACTTCACATATTCTGAAATTTGTTTGGGACGTTCTTTTAGCTACTTCCCAAACGAGTGTTTATTTCTTATTTTTTACGAAAGTGTATACGAAGTCCTAGCAGGAGCTGCCTGGACGAGGTGTGATCCTCCTCATGATGCTGCTTTTGCTGGACTGATTCAGCAATTTGATGAATTGTATTATTCAATACTTTAAACCGATTTATTAATTAATTCACAATTTCCTTTAATTCTGCAATTTCTGGTCATATGTTTGGACGGGGACGCTGGCTATGTCAGTACAATTAAATCGTGAACATTTGATAACTACAGTATCGTCAATAACAAGGATTACAAACAGAGTGATTGAGAATAAGGATTTTCTGACTAACATTTTGAGTATAATCAAGATATACGTTTACATGTAGTTATAAAGTGATCGACGGTAAGGCTCGGAATCGTTTGCTCTGGGGGCACTTCGTCAATGTCGTTCCTTTCTGGGCGCAGGTCAAACTCGACACAGGCGATGACCAGTAGAATGCCGGGTACCGTAGGAAGTCGAGGGGGAACAGAGGGGGAAAGGTCATTAAATCACTCGGCCACCTAATCAGGATCGTTCTCGAACCTGCTGCAATGGATGAGTTGAAGGCGAAGTCTCGACAGCGGTGACACAGGGAGTCTCGGTTCTTGCAGACGAGAAGGAAAAACGGTCGCACAGGTGACTTCTAAGGTCGGGAGCCTAGGTAACTTGTTCGCACAGGTCACTGTTCCGAAGCGCAGGTGGTCTTGACGGGAGCAGCAGTGGTGATCAGTCACGGAGCTCGTCAATCGTTCCACAGGATCGCTTGTGGAGACACAGTTAACTTGTCAAGCGCCGTGTCAGTCGTAAATGACACGCACACCGGTATAGAAGATTCTGGACCTAGTTCATGGCGAGGAGACGAGGATTGAGCGGAGAATCGTGAGAAGGCCTTCGAAGGATCAGGATCACGTCGCTGGCGGGAGAGATTCGTCATCTCGGGAGAGGAAGTACCATGGTGATGGCGTCACAAGGTTCGACAGGCAAGGCAGGACCATTCTTGACAGGGTCACCAGCACAGGGCAGCAGGTGTGGTGAATGAGACGAAATGCGGCGAGGACGTCAGGCGAGTGAGACGAAATGCGGCGAGGACGTCAGGCGAGTGAGACGAAATGCGGCGAGGACGTCAGGCGAGTGAGACGTGAGACGGGATCGAGTTATGTGGAAGACACCTTGCCTAAGCGAAGAACGGCAATTTGATGCCCACCTCCCAAGTGAATACGAGAACCCTCAAGGGAATTCCGATAGGCTCAGAAAATCACAAGGAGGGAAGAAAGGAATTCAGTACAAGAGAAAAATACGCCCAAAGGACGCCCCAGACTCATGGGCCTCCCTACCCAGGTGTCGAAGATTACTACTGGTCTAAGGGGAGGTGCTAACTACATATACGATCAAAGCACTGAGGTTGCAGGCAGAGTACAAAATGTAGAAAATTTCTGAAAAATCATGTAATTACGCCATACGTAACTCCTGTGGCCGACAACTTATTTTTTTGTTGCTGAGCATAACGACATCTCTTACGCGAGTGACGGGTTTGATACAAGCAGCCTGAGCCCAACGTTTTTTGTTTTTTTCTAGATACATTTATTTATTCCCCCTCCTGATCATTATTACAACTATCATAATCATTATCATTATCATTATTATCATTATAATTTTTACCTTTTAACTTTTAATAGAACTCGTACTTTGCTCTCTCACTGGGCGCACTTCAAGAACGTTTCAATGATGAAACTGATTTATGGAATTATCAAGTGATATGAAATACATACAGGCTAGATAAAAACGAGTCTGGTCATTAACCAATTTCTATCTACCGGAAAATTTACTAAAAACTCTCTTAGGTTTTCCTTTTATGGTTGTTCTGGTGTTACGGTTTCTGCCTACACATAATTCCCCATTTAATCTTATCTTCTGACGTCACAAAATATCAGTTTCGTATTGACGTAACTCATTACTTGACTTTTGAATCCTATTTATCACACAATGCACTCATTGTACTAAAAAATATTAAGAAACAGAAATACATTAGACTGCCCGATTACTGACTGTATGTTATTGCTGAATCGGAACATGCATATAGTAATAATAACGAAATAGAATGCAACAGTTTTTTTCTAATTTTGATAACAGGCAATCGAAGAGAGCGCTATCAGATACCTGAACCTGTGACTCGACAGAATTATCGATTTGAAGCATTTTTTATAACCGATTTAAGTATAAACATGAATGTGCAATAGCATTCCAGCTGAAAATATATACTGCTGTCGAATATTTGTATATTTTAGAATAACACCTAGAAAATAAGACTTGTTCTGAACTCAGGGGCACGACTATTAATATTAAACTTATCCTGACTATCACCAAACTAGCAGGCAATGTAATTATGAATGGGAAGGTCTTATCACATAGTTTAAAAACAAAAATGCATACTGCTGAAAAAAGACAAAATAAATAAATACATATGTGTGTGTGTGTGTGTGTGTGCGTGTGTGTGTGTGTGTGTGTGTGTGTGTGTGTGTGTGTGTGTGTGTGTGTGTGTGTGTGTGTGTGTGTGTGTGTGTGGTGTGTGTGTGTGTGTGTGTGTGTGTGTGTGTGTGTGTGTGTGTGTATGTATGTGTGTGTGTGTGTATATATGTATATATACATACATATATGTGTTTGTGTGCCTGTATTTATATAAATAACAACTCAGGAAGTCCCTGTTTTAGACTCCTTGACTTATTAAAATTTCAATATTGATAGGGTTTTGAAGCTGCAACATCTAAACCACCATTCTAAAAAGAAGAGTGGTCACAACTAGAAAACAAGACGTGTAGTTCACTAATCGTCGCACGTCTGGCAGCGCTGTTTGTTACAACGTTGTAATAGGTTTATTATTTTTTTATACATTTGTGCAAGTAAGTACATTTTTCTGGTGATCAATTTTTCAATATAAATATTGACAGATGGCACTTTTTCTTACACAAACATGTGTATATCTGTTCGTGTGTGTGTGTGTGTGTGTGTGTGTGTGTGTGTGTGTGTGTGTGTGTGTGTGTGTGTGTGTGTGTGTGTGTGTGTGTGTGTGTGTGCATATATAACATCTTCACACACACACACACGCACACACACACACACACATTTATATATATACATATATACCTATATATATGTATATATCAACATTTATATATTTATTTATATATATACACATATATACAACTGTGCATGTGTATGTATAATCATGTATATATACATATATATATCTGTATGTATATATACATATATATGTATATGTATATATACATATATATGTATATGTATATATACGTTTACACATTTACACACACACACATATGTCTATATATATGCATACATGTGTGTGTAAAATTATATATATATACATATATATATATATATACATATATATATCCCCGTCGCGGCGGTCGTAAAAATGCCTGCACTCTGATTGCTTGCTCAAGCCCGAGAAAACGACATATCGCCTTGAGAAGTCCAACGCAGGTGTTGCAAGGGAAGTCACCGCCGTGGCACAGGTGTTAGCACCCTGAACCGCGGGTGATTGCGGTTGATTCGGAAGGGCATTCAATCAGACAAGGGTGACACTGTCATATAACCTCTCAACAGTGAATTGAGAGAGGCCTATGTCCTGCAGTGGAATGAATGGCTGTAAAAAAAAAAAAAAAAAAAAAAATGTATATATATATATGTATATATATATATATATATATATATATATATATATATATATATATATATATATATATATATATACATACATACACGTGTGTGTGTATGACTACCCACGTACACATTACAACATAGCAAGCTATTATTATGTTATACCATACTCAAAAAATAGTGCCACCAACTATAATTACGATAAAAAAGAATCGTAGAATGCACGCACTCCGTGCTTGCTGTTGCCATATTTCGCCATCT